CAGGCAGGCTCGTGTGAACAGCCCCGCGGCTTAGCGCGGACTCTAGGGACGTCAGCTTAGGGAAAGAGCCCTCCGGGCCCATTCGCACAACCGGCTAGCTTGGGGCTGGGGGGGCGTGTGTGTATTAGCGGGTTGTGCAAACCCATTCTGCGGGTTTCGCTTGCACGCCGGCGCGTTTCTCTCTTCCAGTTAGTCCATAAGAGACATAAAAATGGAGCAAAGAGAAAGGCCCAGTGGAAAAGAGAAAGCATGAGTTACCTGCAGCAATTCTCTGGCTCCGCTTTTCGGGAAATTAACGGGAAAACGTGTCAGTCCCGAAGCCGGTTAAGCGCCTCCGGGAAGGCAGTTGGCTGCGCCCCAACCAGCCTCGGCCGTGGACCGCGGGCACGGAGCTGCGGCGCCTCCGGCCGGGAAGACAACGGGGAAAGAGCGGAGGGTGGGGTTACGCCCGGGCACCCCCGTCGGACCAAGGGCGCCCCGTTCCTACCCGCCGCTTCGGCCTCCATTTGTCCGCCGCCACCGCTTTGAATGAATCCTGAGCCGAAGAGAAGGCAGGCCCACGCCCTGGCCCCGGACCCTGCGCTGCTCGCTCTCGGGGAAAGCGGCCCGGCCAGAGGGCTTCCTCCCGGGCGCAGCAGAGCGACCATCCCGGCTCCAGGTGGGACGCGCGTCCCTTCTCGCCCCCTTTCCGGCTCTCGGAGCCGGTTTCCCTTCCCGAGGGAGGCAAGTCCCGCTTCCTTTCTGCGCGGCCAGACTTGCTCCGGATCCAAGTGTGCCCCCGAGGCTCGGGGAGCGCTGAGCGAGCGGGGCGCGGCTGGGTCTTTCCCTGCTTGTGTTAATTTGCTGGCCCGGAGGGTTAAAAAAAAGGGGGGGGGATCCTAACGAAATAATAACAAATAAGTGTAAATCAATCAATTTCCGGAGAAGATCCGTCTTAATACCCGAAGGAGGCCTTTCTCCTCCGATCTGTCCGGGATAAACCAGCTTCCCGCAGCTCTTCTACCCTCGCGCTAAACCAGGTTGGCGAGCTTTCCCGGCCTCTCCCGGGGCGGCTGAGGTCGCGCAAGGTGCCGCTCCCGTCCCAGCTCAGCTGCGCGTCTCTTCTCCCGGACCGCGCGGACCCTTCCCGGCCGTCGCCCCTCGTGGGTGGAGGCGAGCAGGAAGGGCTCCCCCTGAGACGAGGCGCCGCTGCTTCCTTCTTGGCTCTGGCGCTGAGCCGGCCCCGGCGGCGGCTTCGCACGGCCTCGGAACCACAAACGACTGCGCCGGCCAGCCGTGGGTTCCCGAGGTCGCGCGAACGCCCATCTTTCCGTCCTGACGCTCAGGCGCCGGGGAGGGGGGCCGGGCTCCGAGGCGGCGGGCCGAGACAGCACCACCGACCCGCCCGAAGGGACGCGCACCGTTTGGGCGCCGCCGCGGCCGGCTTTCGACGCCTGGACCGGGTGAGCCGCAACGGCGGGGTGGCGCTGAC